ATTTTTTATCACTACTAAATGGGTTGGAATGGAGAGGGAATTTTCGATTTTACATATTTTTGTTACAATTTTTATGTGAGTAAAATGTTAACCGATAGCACATGTTTTCGAATATAAAAATGTATGAGGAGCAAGTAAAAATAAAGAATTAACAAGTGAAAAAGCGTTAAGGTCGGCCGCAACCGAATTTTGGATACCCTCCACCATAGATATACTGACAGGTACTTGAAATGAAAATAAAGATAACATACCAAAAAAAGACCTTTCTACAAACTGATTATGTGAACCAAATACAAATTTCAGCAATTTTAAATTAATATTTATACCCTCAGCCTTATGGCTAATGTGGGTGTATACACTTTGATACAGTGAAAATGCGCCTCGTTGAAATATTGGTTCTAGACCCCCCGTTTTTTGGACCAAATCTATTTCAGAAAATTTTGATTTCATCCAAACTTTGCCTAACTTATTATTTATTCCAAACTTTGTTCAAGTTCGAAGATGGGAAATATCGGTCCACTCCTTCTGGTACGTCCCACACAGGGGCTGACGTAAATCCGGGCTATAATTCATAAATAGTACATTATCGAATCTTACGTTCTATCCTCCGCAGATGGAATGATTACAACAGAGTCTTAGAATCAAACCCAAAACGAAGAACAAATCAGATAACTATTTTAATATAAACAAGTGAAAAAGCGTTAAGTTCGGCCGGGCCGAACTTTGGATATAGATATATTGTCTATGGTGGAGGGTATCCAGGTACTTGAAATTAAAATATAGGGAAAATACCAAAAAGTGGACCTATATTTCAACAAACCGGTTATGTAAACAATAATGTAAACTATAAAAAAATTTCAGAAATTTTTAATGGACAATTATACCCTTAGCTTTATGGATAATGAAGGTGTATACACTTTAACACGGTTAAAATTGTTCTAGACCCCATGTTTCTTTGGACCAAATTTGTTTCAGAAAATTTTGATTTCATCAAAACTTTGGCTATGTTATTATTTCTTCCAAACTTAGTTCATGTTCAAAGATGGGGAATATTGGTCCACTCCTTCTGGTACCTCCCAAACAGGGGCTAGGTCTAAATACGGGTTATAGTTCATATATAGTTCATTATCGAGCCTTACGTTCTAGTTTTTTATCTCGATATCCTTGTAGGGAAATTTTCTACCATATACGACTACAAAATACCAAATTTCAGCGAATTCACTTGAAAAACGTACTCTAGATCCTAAAAATAGCGAAAATTGGGGATACCCTTATATAGGGGCTACCAGAAAAATTGGATCTATTTTTATAATTTTTGGTGGAGACATTTGGCACCCATTAGGAATCAAATGTACCAAATTTCAGCGAATTCGGTTGAAAAACGCCCTCAAGAACCCCAAAATACCGACATTTGAGGGGTACCCTTATATGGGGGCTACCAGAAAAAATGCACCTATATCTATTATTTTTAGTGGAGAGATTTGCTACCCAATAAGAACTCAAAGTACTAAATAACAGCCAATTATGTTGAAAACTACGATCAAAACCCCCGAAATACTGAAAATTAGAGGGTACCGTTATATGGGGGCTATCAGAAAAAGTGGGTCCATTCCTATTATTTTTTTGTAGAGACATTTAGTACCCAATAAGAACCCAATCTACCAAATTTCAGCGAATTCGGCTGAAAAACGCGCTCAAGAACCCCAAAATACGGAAAATTAGTAGGTACCCATATATGGGAGCTATGCCCAAACGTGGACCGGTATATCCCAACTTCGAACTTGACCTGCCTGCAGACAAAATACAAACCTATGCAAAATTTCTGCAGCCTATCTCAATTCCTTCAGAAGATAGCGTGATTACAACAGACGTACGGACGGACATGGCTAGATCGTCTTAGAATAGAAAATACAAAACATTGCAACCACTTCGATGAGAACGTGCTCCTAAAATCGTTAAAATACTGACATTGTTATATTGAGGCTATGGATGCTGTTCCCAAGACAAATACAATACCTACAAATAAGGTCTAGCCGTTATAAGAGGGCTATACCAAAAGTACGACCAATTTTTACTATTTTGGGTTGGCAGATTTGCCATCCAATGAGAAATCAAAATATCAAATTATCGCCTCTTCGGATGTAAAACGTGCCTCATCATACCGAGGATTTCAGGCGTAATTATAGGCATATAAAGTTTTTTTTCGTTTGTAACTCATCAAAATACTCATTTTCCGATTCATTTCATGACCAGCGTAAAACTCTATGACGATTTACAAAGGTCCTCTAAACGAATTGAAATAAATCGCCAAAATTTTGCATAGAGTTGCCTTTTGTCGGCAGGCAGGTCCGAATATGTCCTATATCGGTACGCTACTCAACTCAATTCGCTGCAATTTGGTAATTTGGGTTCTTATATAAGTCTACTTTTTAGTGTAACCCTCATATAACGGTACCCCAATTTGTTGGTATTTTGAGGTTTGAGCGTTTCTACAGAAGTCGCTGTAAGTTGGTACTTAAATTTTTATTGCCTACAAAATCTCTTCACTAAACCAGCAAGGAAAGTAGTAAAGTCGGACTGGGCCGACTATATGAAACCCTTCACCACTTTGGGTATATGCGAAGAAACATTGACATGAAATTGAAGGAACTTAAATATGAACATCAATCAATAGGAAGTTTAGTGAACCTATTATATATAATCGGACGAAAATATATATATCTATATCTGAACCGATGTTCACGAAATTTAGCCAAATTTCATGCAAATCGATAGATATATAGGGACTTTGGTGCCCCATTTACCTTTAATCGGACGAAAATATATATGGGAGCTATATCTAAATCTGACCCGATTTTCTCGAAACTAGACACCCGCCATTATAGACTCAATTCAGAACACTATGATAAACTTCGTGCAATTCGAAAGATATATAGGGACTTTGGTGCACCATTTACATAAAATCGGACGAAAATATATATGGGAGCTATATGTAAATCTGACCCGATTTTGCCATTTACATAAAATCGGACGAAAATATATATGGGAGCTATATGTAAATCTGACCCGATTTTGCCGAAACTTGACACACATCATTCTGGGCCCAATTCAGTGCCCTATGCATTTCATCATCCGATTTCATCCCAACTTTCCACATCGTAATATTTCTTCCAAACTTAGTTAAGTTCGAAGATGGGTAATAATGGTCCAATCCTAGTACCTCCCCCACAAAGTTGTGAACATTTTGCTGAAATATAATTTTATCATATCATGCGAACGAACTATCGGACTTAAACAAATGTTTGAAAACCTATTATATTTACCAAGCCTTGATCAAGTTATAAGGTGGGACCTGTTGTTCTACTTCTTCCGGTACCTCCCTCACAAAGCGGCACAATTGTCAATATTTATAAATCCAATGTTTGGGGAATGGTTCGATTGTTCTATTGATCTACGCACATCGTAATATTTATCAAACTCAAATCAAGTTCGAAAATGGGGAAAATAGGTCCATTACTTTTGGAACTTCCCCCACAAAATATCATACGAACAGAGCATTCGATTCGAATAAAACTTTTTACAACCTAATATTTTAACCATGCCTGTTGGAAGATGGGACGTATCGGTCTACTCTATCTATAACCTCCCCCACAATGGGTCAACTTTTTGAAAACTTTTAAATCTCATATGAAACAAACGGAATATCCAATTTTATAGAAACTTTGCACCTGGTAATATATTTTCCCCTTCATAGAAAATGCTTGAATATGGCACACGTTGGTCCATCCTTCTTGTACCTTTCCCACAAAGAGTCAACATTTTGAATATTTGTTAATCCAATATCAAGATAATGGACAGTCTAATTTGATCCAAACTTTGCAAATCGTAATATTCTTCCAAACCTACATTAAATTCTAAGATGGGGTCTATAGGGCATCTGTCCAAAGATGGTCAACTCTTGGAAAAAAACATTGATCTTTTATAAAGCGAATAATAAAGCCAGTGCTTTATTCCGTAGATCTCCACAAACCATATGCTGAGGGTATATTTCCGACTGACACTTTTTGGCAGATAAAAAAAAAATATATGACTTTAAGTGAGTCTACTATGATCGGAACACAGCGATCCAACACGCCAACAACCGATGAAAACATTGAAATTGTGAAGAAAATTATTTCGGATTATCATCCAATCACTATCATAGAGGTTGCTGATGTTATTGGCATATTTTTCGACTCTTTCCAAACAATACCAATATTATAGGCATTAAACGTATGTACTGCAGCGAAGATGTTTTCAAATTGGGCCTTTATGTCTCTAAAATCTAGCTCACGCAGGGAAGGACCATATTGAACAGGGTATTGTAATCATAAAAATATTTAGGCTATCAATGAGCTAAGATCCATAAGAACTATTTCCTTCAAGTCCGGCGCAATTGTATTCCAGAAATTATGTCCATTCGGGAGTTATAAGGTTCCTGTTGAACCGACTGTTCTGAAGCACCATTTTCTAACGAAAATGATGACAGCTCGAAGCAAAATAATTCCTCTAGTCTCACAATCTATAGTATTGTGCCTCTGAGGTGCATAGTCGCAATATAGCAACTGTAGGTACCAAAAAAGCTCTTGAATTCAGATTCTGCCAGCGTTCCCTCTCAAGAGGTATCATGCCATGGAAATATTCCCAACAGGTCATTCTGTTTGTAGGTCAATATTTTGAAATATCCCTCATATAACTGCCACGGTTATTTTCAGCTATTTTAAATGTCCATTCCGCATCTTCCAACAGAAGCTGATGTAGTTTAACATTCTACATATATTTTGGGTACCAACTGGATTTGGTTTTTCTTTGGATTCTCAGCTGGGGGATTACTAATTCGGTTTGGTGAAACTTCACGTCATATTGATCTTGTACAGCTGTAAATATTTAGACCTTTCCTACTTTTAAAAACTAAAACATTAATGTATTCCTTATTTCACTTTCTTTCTCTCATTATCCAGTCTGACTTGTAATGCGCCTTGGGGGTGGTGTACCATACGACGGCGACCCCCCGACAATGAGCGCTGCTGGCAACGACTATGCCGAATTATGCGATCTTGGACCTACGCGATGGAGTTCGCGCGGCTACTATCATGTACCACCACCTGCGCACAGTTCATCACTGCATCCTAGCATCCTGCAGACATCCACCCAATCGTCATCCAGTGTACCAACGGGTGGCTCAGCCGGTCTTACAGCTCATCACCTGCGCGTTGCACCGCCCACAAGTAGTTACGAAGCGGAAGATATTGCCGCTGCCTACGGTATGACAACACCGCCGCCCGGCATTACCGATTTATCGAATAGTTACGCTGTTAACTCACGTATAGGCAATAGTACAAGTTCGCTACGAACTGGTCCAACATCATCGGCGGCAGCAGCGGCGGCCGCGGCAGCAGTTGGTGCAGGCACAGGCCGTTCGGGTTTATATTATTCACCGCCCGGTACCTCGTATACGATCATAGAACGGCCACATTCGCCGCATTACTATTACAATTCGGCGGGTGTTGCGACCAAGGGCGGTTCGCTGCCGGGTCGTGGTTCTGCATATTTGTCCTCATCGCCGTCGAACTATCTGAACAGCGGTATGAGTGGGACATTGCCTACCTCAACTGCTGCACGACATGCAATGAATTCCGCTTCGGGCATGGCCAATGGCAATAAGAAACGGCCAATATCGCCGGAGCAGGTGCTGCGCATGTTTGGCGCTACCCAATCGTCTTCAGTTCCTACTAGCAGCTATCATTATAGTAATGGTACGAGAGATCGCACCGGTCGTCGTAGTCCCGCCAGTAGTCCACCATCAACAACGCATCAGGTGGGTTATGGGTAACAATCTATAAAGAGGATTTCAAAATAAGCGTTACCTCTTTTTGTTTTTGCAGATCTATCGTGAACGTGAAAGAGATCGCAGCATGACAAATATCCATGAACTAACGACACGCACTGTGACCATGTCCCGTGATCAACAAATTGATCATGGATTTGGTATTTGTGTTAAAGGAGGTAAAGACTCAGGTAAGTAATAAAAATTAAAAAATCTATACCCCAAAATCAACACCCTTTCTTTTATAATATGCTGACATCGACATGAACATCAATAACCATGCCAGCCATTCATTGCTTCATTCACAAAGAAGCTTAACGGGAAAATGCACACAAAGTGGTTCATTTTTTATGCAATCAATTGTTGGCAAAATAGACTACCATAAGCCATAACGCCCTCGTTCCAATTACCTTCTCCTCGCACCCACAACAGGTCTATTAACCGCCGTTTCACATAGAATAGAATCGAGTGAATATTTAAGTCAGCAGCAACGTATTAAATATGAAATTCAATACGACCAGCATGTGTCGTTTTTCCTTTTATTCTAGTTGCGATATTCAATAAACGACGACTTCATGCCATAATAATGCCAACTCACCACCACCATACCTCGGAATACCCCTCCTCCTGCATACTTAGTGTGTATTTATGTACTTACACATTATTATTATTAGCAGTAGTAGTGGTTGTATGTATGTGTATCCCAGCTTTTCTATAAACCTTTTCTTATTTGCCTCCAGTACACCTACCTATCGAACTCATCCCTACTACTTGGTCTATTCAATAATAGGACTTAATAATCAATAGATGGCAGGGTTGCCATCCACAGAGTTTTCGGGCAGAAAATATTACATTACTTTGAAATATGAAAAACTGTATATTTGGTCGGATCTCAAACAAATTTCAGCCACGTGGGTAGTAAAATTCTGATAGGAATTAGTAAATATCTAAAATGAGGTTTGAGTATAGGTTAGGTTAAGCTTAGGGATGTGCAGAAAAAAAGAGATATGGAAAGATCTATAGGGGAGAAAAGAAGGGGGATAGAAAGAGATAAGAAGCTTCAAGAAGTCTGAGACGGTAAGTATGATATAGTATCGATGGCTATAGAGATCGGGCAGAAGATATATTACGTGTCAAGGTTACACTTTCCCTACCACTTTAGGTTTCTAATTATGCTGTAGATTAGAGCAGGTTCAATTGTTGAGAAGAAGCTAAGACTCTGTGGAAAATGAGCACCCAATAGTCTGTGCCGCCTGTAAGCCAGGACTGGACAGTGACACAGGAGATGCTCAATTGTCTCCGTCTCCTCCTCGTCAACGCAGAGTCTACTGTAAGCAAAATAATTCCTCTAGTCTCACAATCTATAGCATTGTGGATCCTGCTGTCATAGAATTGCGAACCTTCTAGCTTCCAAGACTTTGAAATTAATCTCTCAAATAATTAGGACATCGGCTCCATTGACAGTTGTGTGGGTGAGTTAACCTCCCTATTCACATCAACGTGTGTCCGTGTTCCTTAACAGCTTAGAAAGTGGACATCTCCTCTGAATTTTTCTCCTATGATGTAGTCGTGTATAAATCTCAGTAATCCTTTCGGGCAGGTGCGGATGGATATACCGTCTACTTTGTCGTTAGTTGCCGATAATATTGCCGCATAATATGTTCACAATACAACATCTGGATGTGCCAGGAAAGCTTTCGAATTCAGATTCCGTCAAAATTCCCTCTCAAGTGATACCATGCCTTGAAAATCCTCTCAACAGACAATTTCGTTTCTCAAAATATAATACATCCCCCATTTATTGTTCCAGCCGATTGGAGTCACCTTGAAGCTTATTTCTAAAAATTTTTCCATTAATTTAACTTTTGAGTCTTGGAAGGTGTTGAAATCGACTTTCTAGAAATATTTACTCCCTAAGTTATAGGTTTTAATTTTTCTTTCTCGGGTTGAGAGTTGAAAAGTTCTGCTCGATGGAACTTGACCAAGTTCACATCTCGTTCTACTATAATTAAGTTTGTTAAACTTATTCACCTATCTACTGTAATCAATTGCATCATGATCCCATTTACTAGTAGAGGCCCTGATATTGTAATGACCAGTACTTATTCCTGCCATTACTCTTATTTCAGCTTTGCTTAGGTTCAACAGTGAGTGTGTCCTTTTGGTAGAAAGATTCGGCCAAATAAATCTTGACACATTGCACCTAGGTTCGTTGTGCCATAGGTCATAGGCTCGTCGAAGAACGCCTCAAAGTTCCGATAAAGATGACACAATGGTGGTTTGATTGAGTCATCAATTGCTACATCAGTGGATTGAGATCCTCGTCTAGCTAATTCGTCTGCTCTTTCCTTACCCGTGATGTCACGGTGTTCTGGTAGCCAACACAGCCAATAGCAGTAAGTAAATTCTTCCAAAGCTGTTTTACACTTGAGGACGGCCTTAGATGTGATGTAACACGATTTGATGGCTTTAAGAGCCGACCTCTGCATCCCGACTTTTTATGAACTCCGCTGCCTTCCAAATGACGAAGATTTCAGCTTGGAAAACACTACAATTTCAATCAAGCTTGTAGGTTAACTGAAGGCCTAGCCTTTCACAGTAGCCGCCGGCCCCTGTACCTTTTCCATCTTGGATCCGTCTGTATAGAATGCCAGACCGTTCAGAGGAGGGTTACTCCGGTTCCAGTCGTCTCTACTAGGAAATGGTTTGAGTATTAAAAAATAATAAAATTAAGTCGGCCCTGTTAAAAATGTTATTTGTTATGTTATTGAAAATGTAATCAATACCACGGAATCCCAAATTTTGCATTACTGGAAAAAAGAAATTACACCACAATATAATTGGAATTGTCCCTCAGATGATAATCAATCGGTACCGCAAATAAAATGAAAGGAAATGTCAGTCTAACTATAATCGATCAAAAGTTCAATTGTAGAATCACCGAAAATTCTCATCGAAGACCGAAACCTCTTAATATCAAAAGGCAGTAAATAATCCAAAGGTCTTATTGTAGAAGACCGGAAAGTCTATTTGTAGAACAACAGAAGGGACTTATTATACAAATTCAGAAGATTTTCTTGAAATGTTTATTATTCTAGGTTTGGTTTTTGGCTAAATAATCTAAATCGGATGGTACACTTTTAAGAAAGATATTCCAAATTTGCCCTATATAGGTTTATTTTTGCGAGAGAGATCACCTAGATCACCTCGAACTCGATATGCTGAACTACTTCGGTTGGATAATTTTGCTGGAGCTTCAAAATACACAAATGGGTTTATTTTGCAGCAAATTTGTCATGAAGCGAATAATCAGCTTGAGCAACGTAGGACGGATAATTCGGAGTGATAAACAACTATTGCCTGGTGTCTTCAGAGAAATCAGAAAAATTCCGAAATACGAACAAGAGAAGACGAATCATTGTATCCATGACAAATCGGTCTAAACCACTGAAGCACAAACCAGTACAATAACGTCCATGGTTAGACACGTATTCTCTTCTCTCTTCTTTTCGTCAGTCGTCTTAATACCCTCAGCTTTATGGCTAATGAGGATATAACACTTTGATACGGCAAAAATGTGCCTCATCAAAATATTAGTTTAAGACTTCATGTTTCTTTGGACCAAATCCGTTTCAGACAATTTGGAGACGATTAACAAATGTCTGTCTGTCTGTTTAGCCAGCAGAGGCGCACGATAACTCTCGACATCGTTTACTCCGATTTCAAACTTTGGACATCGTTATATTTCTTTTGAACTTCCTTCTTGTCAATCGGCCTAACTTTTGGCCTTTGGGGCATCAATTTATATAAAATCGCACGAAAATATATATTGGAGCAATATGTAAATTTTATCGTTTATTTTTGCCTGTTACCAACATATTCACAAAGACATAATACTCTGCACTACAGTGTGGTAAAGGGCAAAAAAACGTGTGCCAAAAATAATTTTAATATCATGCCAACGGACTATCCGACTTGAACCATACTTTGCACAACTTATTACCTTTACCAAGCCAACATCAAGTTTAAAGATGGGAATCAATGGTCCCCTCCTTCTGGTACCTCCCCTACAAATAGTCAACATTTTCAATATTTATAAATCCAATATCAGGCGAATTGAATGATCGATGGTATCAAATATCTTTGTCGGCCTGTTCTGCTTGAGCTCTCTAGTTACATGTGCAGAAATCACGTGCAATGCTGTTATTGTATTGTACTGCTTCCAGAATCCGTGTCGAGGATCGGCAAGCATTCTAGAATGCTTCGGAGCAGAGATGCCCTAATACATCAAGCTACTGGCAGCAAATGATCCTGAAAGATTTTGCCTGCTTCCAGTAGCAGAACGCCATGCACATTTCCCATGCATCGGAAATTTTTGGGTGGCTAACGACAAATTGAGGACTTTGGATAATCCTGGTTCATCCATCATAAATATTGCATCTAAGTTGCAACATCTTCAAACGTAAATTAGGTTATTACCCGCCATTAATTTATTTCATACTGTGACAATTGGTTGAACGAATAGAACGAATAATCTTAAAAGATGTCCCAGAGAAATTTTGTCCTCTGAGTGTACGAAAATATTAGAACTTTCGAACAACTTTGGTAATTGTATTTATTTAAGAATATTTGCAACGCCTCGATATTTTTGTTGGAAACCTTATGAAGAATATTTACTATTGATCAGAATAAAATTGTATGCCGATTTATTATTGCTCTTTTTCTATATGTCCATATGGGTTTTTGAGCTAAACTACATCTGTCCAGTTAACAGGTCCATATTTTGACATAGTCTCTCCATATTCCTTGAGCCTTAAACAAAATTACACACAATTTTCGAAATATGTTTCCGTTCCCATACAAAGACCAAGCTTTATTTTCTGTATTTTTAAAAAATTTAGTCGCGTATTACCAACAAAGTGGATGTAATATGGCATTCCGGATACTTGGAGTGTGAAAACATTTTTGCAGAAATGTATAAATATTCCGCTGTATTTCCGGTATTATTAAACCCTCCACCATAAGGTGAAGACCCCATAATGTATTTATATTCTTAATCAGTAATTAAATTCTATGTCGATTTAGTTGAAATCAATGATAGAGATCGCAATAATTTAGATAGAGCTGTGAAAAATTGCACAGACATTGCTAGTACCTACGATGTTTGGTATTGCAAATAGGGTATATCGGTACACGTTATGGTATAGTCCCCATGTAACATTGCCCCAATATTCGGTATTTTGGGTTGTTAGATTCCATTCGGTATTTTGAGGATGTTTGACACATTTTGTTTCAGATTTAATTGTAATTTGGTATTTCGTTTTCTCCTGAATGTCCATCTCATAGTGGAGGGTATAAAAGTTCGGCCCGGCAGAACTTTTTTACTTGTCAAGGTTTTAATTACATTTTCGCTCTGAAATGACATTACGGTTTCTTGAATTTTCCAAAATACCATTGCAAAATTATTGCAATATAAGTCCAGGTTTTGCACAGCCCTTAAAGCACACTGTATCTGTTTTAATATTTTTTGAGGTTTTAGCCGAATGAAATTTGGTAAAAGTTTTTGGTCCATGTTTTATATTGTCTCAATTATGACCTTCCTCATTTATGATAGTTTAAAGTTATTATCCGAATTTTCCTATCGAAGTCTCTGTTGCAGGCATTTGCTAATAACAAATATCGACTTTACATCCATGTAAGAGACACCTTAATAATAGAACATCCATTTCGTCATTAGATACCGTCAGTATCTGCATGTATCTATTATCTGACTCCTGGCAGCTGTTCCAGTCATTTCCAGGAAGCCAAAAATCTAGGCTCGTCGACTACCTTCACCCACATCCAGAGGTCGAGTATATAACAGGAAACTATTGCCGTACAAAAATCTGTGAGGAAAGGAAATATAGCTAGATGAATAAAAAATAACCGCTACCACATTCAATGTTTTTCAAATCCTATAACATTTCTCAAACTCTCATTGTGGTATAGCCAATAGCTACTACTTCGATTTTTTCTCCTCAATCGTAGCTTAACGCTTCCCTGTCTCTTCAGAACTGGGAAGAGGAAAACTTCAGCAGGGGTCAAATCCGGTAAATACGGTGGTTGAGATATGATACCACGAACAGGCAAGCAAGCATCGATGTGTGTGCTGGTACCTTTTCATGATGCAAAACACATGATTGGATTTTTCATTATACTGTGCATTTCTGACGAATTGTGTCCCTCAAATGGCACATAACATTAAGGTAGTATGACCTGGTGTAGGAATTCAAGATTCAAATCCATTGAAGTCGAAGAAAACATTGGGCAAACCCTTCTTATATGTCCGCGCTTTCTTCTGTCTTTTCTTTTCTGGAAGTTTCTATGGGATAATTATGATTTGGTTTTAATGTTGTAATGATACACCCATGATTTGCCACCACTTATGGCCTTATATGAATAATGTGTATCATGGTTGACAATGTTTATAATACCTAAATATACCTAATAAAAATACCTTAAATATGACCCTTCATAAATATTATGGCCGGAGGACTACAATCGAGTAAAGAGGTCCTCAAAATCGAAAGACTAGCGCCTGAAAAACATTCTGTATATTCATGCTGGTTCCGAAACAGATCAATTGTGACAAAAAATACAATGGCAACCCTGAAACTTTGATTTTTGTCGTCGTTATTGTTGTTGTTATTATTCTATGCTAGTTTATTTTACCATTATTCGAAGAGCTTAATATAATAATAAATATACTACTGTTGACGCACACTCAGTCCTATACATAACACACACACACCTACACCCATACCTCTTCACTTGTTCCAAGTACACGTGAGGTAACTTGTAGAACTTATGAACTTTATTTAAACGCTTAGTAACACTTTTAGCAATGGTTCTTGCTGTTGTTGTAGCCACCTACTTCTTCTCTCCCTCTTTCTGGCACCTACTATCTCATCATCCCTGTATTTATTTGAACGTCATTTACAGGTGTCATTTATAAGCTGTATCTGTCAGAGGCAAAAATATATTTTGCAATGAAATGGAAATAGATGAGATTTTCCAACGGGATGAGGAAGAGGTCGGGTTTTCTGTTTATATTAATTTTTAATTGTATTAAAAGAGGAAAAAATAGGAAAGACAACAACAATAACAAAATAACTAATGAAAACCATAATAATAGCATTTATTTTCTATTTAGCTATATATGTAAATAAATACATGCATATGTTTATATGTGTGTGTGTCACGTGTATAGATATTGATTTATTTTCATAATCGAGTATTGCTCTCTTGAAGAAAGCTCAAGTAATACGAAGAAGAACGACAACACTGACATTTATATATTGACAAAAGGACTTAAAATAAAAACAAGTGCACCGAGAAGAAGGATTCAATCACAAGGATATGCAGAAGTGATATCACTTGATTAAAAGAAAATCACATTGCATTTTATTAAATAATAATTTCTATTCAATTTTGAGAGAAGGAAATTGGTATTTTTCTGGAATTTTATTTAGATACATTTGAAAATTGAAATTAATAGAAATTCCTGAGATTGAGTGAGAAGGAAATTTAACTTATCGAAACTAGTTTTAGTTTTGTTATTGTATCACAATTGAAATTTAATTTACATTAAATGATATAATGAAAAATACAGTGGAGGGCAAATATATTTAGAGAATGGGAGATTCGTGAAATATTTGGATATTAACATCCTAACACAATAACACCTAACATCCTAACACAATATAAACCAGTAAGGAAAGTTCAAAAGTCGGACGGGGCCGACTATATGATACCCTTCGCCACTATGGGTACATGCAAGACATCTAAATATCTACAATATCCTGTAGATATAGACATTTCGCATACATCAGTCGGGACCTAATTCAGTACTCTGTGCAAAATTTTGCTTCAATCGGACCAATATTGGGAGTTTGGTGCACAAATTACCTTAAATCAGACGAAACTATATATGGGAGCTATATCTAAATCTGAACCGATTTCAACAAAACTTCGCATTCATCAATGACCAAATTTAGTACGCTGTGCAAAATTTTGTCTCAATCGGATAAATATTGGCAGTATGTTGCTCCATTTACATAAAATCGGACGAAACTATATATAGCATATTTAGATATAAATCTGAACCGATTCCAACAAAATTTCTCATACATAAGTCGGGACCTAATTCAGTACTCTGTGCAAAATATTGCTTTAGTCGGACCACTATTGGGAGTTTGGTGCACTATTTACATGAAATCGGACGAAACTATGCCAAATTTCATACAAATCGGATCATAAATGCGATCTGTACTTTGTTAACAAAAATACATGGACGGACATGCATATATCGACTCAGAAAGTGATTCTATGCATATTCACAAAATGAACCATGGGTCTATCTCGATTATTTTTGCCTGTTACATACATATGCACAACGACACAATACCCTGTACCACAGTGCGGTGAAGGGTATAAGGGGACCACCCCTAAAAGGAGGCGAATATTAATAATTTTTGGTAGGGAGGTTTGTTACCATATACGACTACAAAAAACCAAATTACAAAAAATTTGGTTGAAAAACGCGTTCAAGAACCCCAAAATACAGAAAATTGGAGGGTACCCTTATATGGGGGCTACCCGAAAAAATGAACCTATATTTATAATTCATAGTGGAAAGATTTGCTACCTAATAAGAACTCAATGTTCCAAATTTCAGCGAATTCGGTCCAAAACTGCGATCAGAACCCCCCAAAATACCAAAAATTTGGGAGTACCGTTATATGGGGACTACCAGAAAAACTGGAACTATATTTATAATTTTTAATGGAATAATTTGGTACACAATAAGAACCGAATGTACAAAATTTCAGAGAATTCAGTTATAAAACGAGCCCAAGAACCACAAAATACCGAAAACTGGGGGTTCCTTTATATGGGGGCTACCCGAAAAAATTGACCTATATTTATAATTTTTTGTGGGGACATTTAGTACCCAATAAGAACCCAATGTACCAAATTTCAGAGTATTCGGTTGAAAAACGCGCTCAAGAACTTCAAAATACCGAAAATTGGGGGGTACCCTTATATGGGAGCTATGCCTAAACGTGGACCGATTTTCTCCATTTTCAATAGGGTTCGTCCTTGGGCCAATTAAGTGACCTGTGCCAAATTGCATCCAGATCGGATCATAAATGCGACCTGTACTTTGTTTACAAAAATACATGGACGGACGGACAGACGGACATGCATAAATCGACTCAGAATGTGATTCTATGCATATTCTCAAAAGGAACCATGGGTCTATCTCGATTATTTTTGTCTGTTAAAAACATATGCACAAAGACATAATACCCTGTACCACAGTGTGGTGAAGGGTATAAAAATGTATTTAATATTTTTAATTATAAATTTTATATTAATTAAAATATGGTCCTTCCTTTTTTTCCAGGCCTTGGTGTCTATATATCACGCATCGAGGAAAATTCCGTTGCCGAGCGTGCCGGTTTGCGTCCCGGTGATACTATCCTAGAAGTGAATGGTACACCATTCACTTCAATTAATCACGAGGAAGCGCTAAAAGTAAGTATTCGTATTGTGTTTTAATTTCAATTATCCATCCCGCCACCAAAAGGGGATAATTGCAATTAGAATACGTTGTTTGTTTGATTTTTTAGTAACAATATATATATATATATATATATATATAAATATTTATATGACAAACTTATTCACATTTACACTACAAAAAAACAAACGAACAAAAGAAAGAAAAAAATATATTTTTAATTTGTGAAATATTTTTATTTTATTTTGAAATAATACCGAAAAAACTTGTACCAAGCTAATAATACAATTACATCAAAATAAGGCAAGGAATAAGATGAAAATTAAATTTAGAATTGGAAAATGTAGTTTAGAGTCCATTTATTTGTCTGTCCGCTTGTATAACTGAAGTCACTTAGATTGTAGGTGGGCTAGAGTAATGATTATCAGTTCAAATATGAAAACAAAAATTACTTGCTCCTTCATTTAGGCTAGAATTTTTCAAATATCATTAAAGGTTTCCTACGTACAATTGTTTTAAATTTGATGTAAAATAAATAAATTAAAATAAATTCATTTTGTATTTATGAAACTATTGGGTAATTATTATGTTACAATAGTTTAGGTTTCACACCGTTTACATTTATTATGAATACAAGATTTTCTTAATTATTAGCATACAAATGTATTTAAAGGATTGAAAGGATGATATTTTGACGGAACATCTGCATTTTCAGGATGTCAACAAATTATTTTGACGTTGGTGTGAGGTCAAAACTAAATAGGGAATATAACAAAACATCCCAACTAAATTTCAATATTTTTTGATCAAGTGGTCAGAAGTGTAATCCAACCATATTGATAACAAACCTTTCATTTGATGAATGTAAAATTTATATTCACTTTTAATCGATATATGCACTTCGTTCAGGTCGTGAGAAACAATAGTGAAAATAGCCAACTTTTTTCTTGATTAGGCTGTCATCAACTTCTTGTTAACTGTAGAATGTTTCATCTTTGAATAAAGTAGTAGAAACTTCGATAAGTTCGGCCAACTTTTTATACTCTCTACTATGTACTGTACATTCAAGATTTCATAAACAAAGAGTCGAGACCTTTATATGCCGACCATTATTGTCTACAGGTAGGTTATCCATACTCTGAGAAAGTTAAATACCACATCACAGACACTCAGGATAGGACACTCAGGGGCTAGGAACTCCACCGTACCAAAAATTAAGCGGGACCTTTGTATTGGAGCCAAATATACAGAGGCACTTCTGTAAGAAAATTTAGCTAAAATCTTCAAAATAAAAAACGGCCGCCCCCCTGCGTACGTCCCTGGTGTTACCCATATGCAGTGTTGCCAAAACATTGTCGACAAAAAATGCCAGATTTTGTTTAGAAAAATGCTAGAAAGTGCTAAAAAATTTAAAAAAAAAGTGCTAAAAAGTTTATAGAAGGAACTTCGCTTATAGCTAATAATGAGATATTTATCTTTTAAAAATGCATTATATACACAAGATGGAGTAAGTGTATTTTAAATATTCTTGCAACACCTCGAAATATTCACCTTTTATATTCTTAATCAGAATTTAATTATTCGATGTAGCCGCAATATTAAAGACAGATATTTGAAATTTTGCACATTACTAATAATTCTACCATGTTTGGTATTGTAAATTGGATATATCTGCCCTTTTTTTTGGACTTTCATTGGAAAAAAAAATTCCTACTAAAAATTATCAATATGTGTCTTTAATTATTCGGTGTTTTGGTGACTTTAGTCACGTTTATCAACCGAAGTGGCTTCAATTTGATATTTTGGATTCACATTATGCATTCCGTGTTTCGGGGTAGCATCCACGTTACACGTTTTCAGAGACTGGCACATATGCAGAAAATTTTCAATCTAGTTTAGGGTTTGCTCATAGCACTCATATTAAAGTACCCACCTCTCTTTGGGTAGAAAATACTAATGCGGACAATTTTCTATATTTGGACATATACTCCATATAACATTTCCGTTCTATTCGCATACTTTTTTTTCCCACCTATGTGTCTGTAATTTAAAAAATATGTGTGCGAAAAATTTTTCGATGTACTCCATCTCTTGTCATAACTCCCATATAAAGTGGGACGCGACCCAATTACGGCACTATGATGTGACTATAATTTGACATTCTGGAATCCGTTGAATAAAATACATCTTTCCAGAAAGTTTACAATTTAGGTTCATCGGGTTTCTTTACTTGTTCACAGATTTACTGACACTTTCATAACATTGGCAAATCAAACTCATAGCGTAAAACATGAATAAATTTCAATAGGTCTATATGAAATCGAAAATATCCTGAAAAAATAAAAATGCTAAAGAAGATGCTAGGTGCTAGATCAATTTTTTTTTTTGGTGCTAAACGAGTTTAAAAGTGCTAAATCTAGCACTAAAAGTGCTAAATTGGCAACACTGCCCATATGTGAGGACGATAGCAAAACGTGGACCTATATTTTTAATTTTTGGTAGGAAGATTTGATCAACCCAAATATAAAATACGAGCCAATTCGAACAACGATATTATAATCCTACGTCATTATAATCCTACGTCTAATCAATTCAGTACATTGTACCAAATTGTATATCAATCTGCCAAAAATGGTCTTTTTGGTGCATCATTTTCAAAAAATGGGACGAAAATATATAAGAATTATATATAAATCTAAACCGATTTCAACAAAACCTGACACACGTTTTGCTATACTAATGTCAGTACGTTTTGCAAAATTGTGTGCCATTCGGCCAAAAGTCTTTAAAATTCGATAAAAGTATATATGGAGGGCTGTAACTAAATCTGAACCCATGTTAACCAATTTCAATAGGATACTTTCAAGGGACAAAAAAGTGGGTTGTTCCAAATTTCATTAAATTCGGATCACAAATGCGACCTGCACTTTGCTAACTAGAATACATGGACAGACGGACATGCATAAATCGACTCAGAAAATTATTCTATGCATATTCTCTAAAGGTACCATTAGTATATCTCGTTTCTTTTCGCATGTTACTAACATATGCATGAAAATATATTGTCTGAGGACTTCACCCAGAAGGTGGCGAATATTAATACTTTTGGTAGGAAGATTTGTTATCAAATAGGAATCCAAAAATACCTTATACGCAGGCTATGTTTAAACAAGGGCCCATCTTCGAACTTGACCTGGCTATAGACAAAATAGAACTATATGCAAAATTTCGGCGATCTACTCTCAATTCGACTAGAGTGATTACCACAGACAGACGGACATGTGTAAATCTTCATAGACGGCGTTATGACACTTGTAAGGGAAAATACGTTTAACTTACAAGCTATAAAAGCTTCCAAATGTATAAAAACCATCAATAATTTCTCTCGACATGCTCTTGTACGAATCATATTGGTCACAGAATCATATACACGACAGAAGTGCTATTGACTGACTCAATATAGATGTGACTAATGCCAAACCTATTTACGCAACACGCCTAGAACTGAGGTCATGGTCAAAAGACCCACAACATTCTTTGAAAAAAACGAGGAAAGAACACAAAAATTGTATCCCTAAATAAGGATAACACAAAGCAAATCTTGACGTTTAGCAAAAAGGAAAATCGCAGACTGACATATATTCTTACAGACACATTTATACGTGGAAATCAGAATGTGAAGACCGTGTGGGGAAGACACCGAAACATTGGAATACTTCACAGCCAAGCTTTTGCAAGCGTTTGAATCCAATTCATGATACTATTCACTAAATAACCGTCTTAAGACATTGTGAATGGAAAATACTGAAGAAATTTTTCTCTTCCCAATAAGAGGACAAATTTATCTTTTCCTTCTGATTACATTTTTATCGATAGAAAAATAAGTTTCGTAGGGAAAATAATTTTCTGTAGGAAATTTTACTCCTTAGCGGTGATGTGTTTTACTAATGTGAAATACATATTATGACATAAAAAATATCGGTCATATAACAGACAGAACTTTGCAAATCAATCGTTACACCCAATACTCCAAGGTAGAGTCATTACAACGATGTAATGAACTGCGGGGCTGTGGGTTTGGCGCCGGATATATTTTTAAAAAATTTTGTTTCTCACAGATGTCAGCAATATTCCAATCTCACGGCATGATCGAACAATAACTCATATATATTTAGTTCGATGTTTTTCGAATTCCATAAGTTAGTTGTTGTGGAGATTTTAACTCTTTTGGGTACGCTCTGTTTTACGCAACCTTCGACTTTTTAAAAAATATTCATAATGAAAATTATAACGATAACTCCAAAATGTGTATATGTTAGAGGGATTGGGCACGTTTTTCAACCGAATTGGCTCCAGTTTGATTTTCAGTCTATAAATAGCCGCATTTATCCAACAATGTGGCTGTAACAAAAAATGATCATTGCATGTTCATGTTTTGACATAGCCATAGGTCCTACCCACTTTTAAGTTTTATTAAGCTCGTTAAGAGAATTTTTATAATTAAAGTAGCTAAAATTTGGGATATCGGATTTGTGGGGAATAAAAAACATTTTTTCCAAAAATAATTCAATATAGGTTAATGTTTTCAAATAAGCCCACACAAATGTCACGTTTAGTTTGCGATATTTTCAAGTTCCAACCTAAGTTTTCCAACCTGATTATCTGGTATATAATGTTTTCAGAGCATGAACAACATACTTCCACTTAATGCAATAACATAGTATCCATATAAAAGCTCCGACTGATTTAAGAAATTTTGAGAAAGTTAGCCTTAGCTGGCCTTAACGATGTGTTTACTTATTATTTCTGAATTCTGCACACATATAATACTAAACGTAACCCGAATGATTGGCATAGTTGGACGTATCTAAAGGTTCGATAAGTCAACTTTTCTGTATGAATTTCATATATAGGAAAAATAATACCTGTAGGATATATATACCTAATTGTAGAATATAGGAGTTCTAAAAATGTAGGAACAATTTGTCAATTGGTCGGTACCATATCGACTGGACATTCATATACACAATTAGAATTAAATGCATCACATTGAAGTAGAATCTGGGCACACATAATATTGAAACAATAATTTTGGACATAACCAAAAATGTATATGTATGAAACTACAACACTAATACACTATGAGAAAAAATTGGCAATAGAATAAGTTTTCTATTCTGTTCTTCATTATGTACGTATGTATGTAAATTTTATTAGTTTTAATTTGAGTTAAATACTGCACTTCTAATCCCAAAAGAAACAATGAAAACACAAAGAACACAAAAAATCTAAATTCACACCAAAGTGCACCAAAAAAAGGATAATTATCCTTTGCATTGATCCCCGACACAAACCACTTACAAAACACCAGCACTGCGTTTTTTTCTTTCGAATATTATTTCTTCTTTATTTCAAAATTATTTTGAAATTTCCGTATTGGTTTTGCTTTGCTTTTATTTTCCGTATTTCCATTCTGTACCACTCTGTTTATCACTCTCCTCTATCTATCTTTTTCTATATAACTATTTTGTATTTGTTTTAATTCCATTTTGTTCACTTTTATTTATTTTATTTGTGTTTCCTTGTTTTTATTCTTTTGTGTTCTCGTTTTTTTTTTTCGAACTTTCTCTCCTTTCTTCTTCGCCTTCTTCCTTTTTGTCTCTTCTATTGCCACATTTTTTCTTAACGCAGAGATGTGTGCAGATATTGAAATCACAACGTCAAATCAGTATGACGGTACGATCACCACCCACGCTTAATTCAACGGCGCCTCTGCATGGCTTTGGCCCACCCTCCCGTGATCCGATGTACGCTTCAATGGCTCCCCTGCTCACACAACCGACAGCACTGCCACCGGGTGCCGCCATAGGAGCAACTGGTTCGTTGCCATATCGACAGACATGTTCCTGGATGGATAGACACGGGAGACCTGCCTCACCGCCCATGGAATATGGCGGACGACGAAGTGATCGAAGGGATAGGTAAATGACGCCCATATCCATAAAAGGAGGTTTTATTTCAAAAATGTTTTCCTTGTTGCAGAATACGTTGTGTTGAGTTGTTAATAGAACCCGGCCAGTCATTGGGTCTAATGATACGCGGCGGTGTCGAATATGGCCTGGGTATATTCGTGACGGGTGTCGACAAGGACAGTGTGGCAGATCGTGCCGGCCTTCTGGTGGGCGATGAAATATTAGAAGTCAACGGTCAATCCTTTCAAGATGTTACCCATGATGAGGCTGTTAGCCAGCTGAAGTACCACAAGCGTATGTCATTGGTCATACGTGATGTGGGTAAAGTGCCACATTCCTGTACCTCCATTGAAATGGAGCCATATGATGCGTATAGTCCCACGGGGACAAGGTAAGCTAACATATAATTTTCTTGCATGTCATTAAGAACAAATGCTTACATATTTTTCCATCTCTTGTTTCAGAGCCCGTCGAAAAGGTCAAATCACCGCCATGGTAGAAGAGAAGGCCCGTTCTCTACTGCCGCGACACCATTTTGCAAGTCTTTCGTATTATATCGCCGAATATACTGCGAGAGCAATGACCATAGATGCCTTTGTAGCCGTCTTATTAGAAATGTTAGATACATATGAAAAGGTAAGTGATACAGTTGATTAATATATGAAAATTTTGGGCTGATATATTAGCTGTGTTCCGGCAATTATGATAAGGAACATTTAATTTCTAAATTACAAGAAGTAAAAAATAAAAGCTTAGAAAATATTACGTTTCAAAATATGACACTTGATATTTCAACCAACTAGTATGAAGCTCTTACCTAGGAAAGATATGTACTAAATGGTACTAAATTTGGTAGAGGTGATATTGTCTTATAGAATAGAGCTTGAATGTTGAAATATGGTAGGGGATGCTGGAGATTGTGGTTTTTTAGAATTCATGCTATAAGTGCACATCTCTTCAAATGGTAACCAGAAACATCGCTGTAAAAAAGTACTAAATTGTACTATATTTAGTACAGTTGGTATTGAATGGACGAATAGAGGTGACATCTTAAAATACAGTAATGGAATTAGATTATATAAATGAGAAAAATCGGTTTTAAAAGTTCGAGCTATAAGTGTACGAAATTATTCAAAATTTTGTACAATTCGGCATCGCTTTTTACACCTAATAAAAATATAGGAAACATACCTAAATGTGGACCTATAACCACAATTCTACCAATTAATTTTTGTAAACGATAATGTACACCAAATACAAATTTTAGCAATTTTGACGGGAATTTTTCCTAAAATCTCAAAACCTCTAAACGTGGACCGATATTGAAAATGCAGGGTAGGGTGGAATATATGTATAAAATCCTCAAACTACTGCAATTTAGAGGACATAGTTATATGAGGCTTTTCCAAATGTGGGACCAATATTGATTACATTGTGTAGGAAATGTCGAATGTTTGTGATTATAGCAAAATTTCGAACCTAATATTTTAGTTTTGTATCTCAATATTTTCCTACGCGCTAAATATTAAAAATGGCGAAAATCGGTATATTGGAGCTAGTCCAAAATTCGAGGTGAATTCGAGAGAACCGAAAGTTCTAGCGTTCGGTTGAACAACGCACTCAAAAAACACAAAATACCGAAAATTGGGGAGTATGGTGCTATCCGGAAAAGTGGACCTATATTTACAATTTTTAGTGGAGAGATTTGGTACATAATAAGAACACCAAGTACGCAATCTTAACCTGCTGCAGAAAAAAGACAACTCTATGCAAATTTTTTGCAACCTATTTCTATTCGCTTAGAGGCTAGAGTGTTTACAAAATACAGAAGGAAATGTTTACATCGTCATAGAATTTTACGCTGATCATAGGGTCGGAAATGATTAGTGCGATGAGTTACAAACAGAAAACTAATCGCCGACAGATATGCGGAGGTCTGCGTGATTACTGTATAGTGTCGAGGTGGAATATTTGTATTGTAACTGTTTGTGGGGAGAGAATGACCTATATAGTCGATAGTTGCACTCAATCTTTATTTTATTACAAATGTTATGTCATTCCACGTTTATCTAAGGTGTAATATGTGTTGAGGAACTATAAGGCTTCTGACTTCAACTAGGCTTCTTAAAAATATTACGACGTGCAAAATTTGGATAAAATGTCGATATAGTATACCCTATATGATTAAAATATTAGGCCGCCGAAAGTGTGCTTTAAATCGGACAGTCCGTTTACATGATATTATAAAATTTATTTTCGGCAAAATACTGACCCTTTTATGGGGGCAGTACCAGATGAAGTAGACAAATATACCACATCTTCGAAATATAACGATGTGCACAGTTTGTATAAAATCGGACATTCCATTAGCTTGATATTTGATAAACACAATTTAAAATTGTTGGGACCGATAGTTCCCGACGATGAACAGATATTGGATCAAATCGGACATTCCATTTGTTTAATATTGGATTTATAAATATTGAACATTTTGACCTTTTGTGCGGGAGGTATTTAAAGGAGTCAAACGATAAGTCCCATCCTCTAGCAATACAAAAGCTTCGATAAAATATTCGGGTGTAGAAAGTTTGGCAATATACATTTTCAGCAAAACCATTTATAGGTGAGGGACCAGAAGAGGTGTGCCGATATTCCCCATCTTCGAACATGATTTAACTTTGGAATAAATAATACGATGATCAAAATTTTGATGAAATTGATTACTTCTTTCGAAGGGGACAGACAGTAATAAGGCTGAGGGTATAATAATTACAGCGTTTACAAGATGCGATTACATAAAAACATGGTCGTTTTATACCAGGAACCTATATACCAAGTCTTAGAAATGAGGCTCGGAATTTCAAGATGGCGAAAATGGGACAATATTTTAATAAAGGAACCATTTGAAAACGTGAACCTAGACTCAAAAGTTTATAATCCAGCATTCCTTGCCAGTCTCCTCGAATAAAAAGAAATAACATATCACATTGGAACTTATGTTTGTTGTTTTTCTTCGACACAATTCCCTTTGAGAGTTATGATTGAAGGCGTTCCTCATTTAGATATCGTATCGGAAATATCGTCCCAGCGACCATTCTTTTAACATTTGTTGTCGTAGTTTATTTATCTACTATTTCATTGAATTTTGTTAATATTTTCACCTTTCGCTGAATTACGGGAACAAAGCATTAACATATTTCTCTCTTTATTTTTTCCTCTGTATAACTCTCTATAACTAACTATATAACCCTATAACTATATAACGCTCTATAACTCCATTAAAACCGTTCTATTTTTCTCCATTCTTTTGTCTCTTGCAGCATACACTAGTGACGGAAATCCGTGAACTTATATTTCCTGAGGATCGCACACGATATGATGAGCTAGTCTATCGTAGAGAGCGCGATCCTTACAGTGGCGAACGATTAAGGGTAAGTAAACTATATATTTCTTATTCCAAAATTCGGAATGCAAAATACTGTCAATTCGGCGAGAACATGCTTAAACATTAAAATCACACAAATGACACCTTTATGTGGGATCTATACCACAATATAGACCGGTATTTATATTTGATGATTTGGACAACCCATGATATCAAAAATATCAAATTACAGTCAGTCACCCAAAAGTCCCCATTTGGTCACATAGGTCGGAAAGTCCCCATACCTTGAAACAGGAACCAATATTTATAATTTGTTGTAGCTTCTTCCCAATGTAAATCCACTCTATGAAGGGTACCCCAAAACAAAGTCTAATAATAATAATAATAATTTTTGGTAGGGAGATTACCTAGCCGATGGGAATCCAAAATATCAAAGTCAGCCAACTCGGTTGTAAAACATTCTCTGGAAGGTACCTTTATATGGGACTAATATTAATATTGTTTTGTAGGAAAATGTTCTACCCCGAAAGAACTCGAAACTAAATTTCAGTCAATACCGACACTTTTTTAATCATTTCCGTACCACCTATAGAAAATAGAAAAAGTTCTCCCTATACTTCTGGGAATAAATTTTTGAAGTCCTTCAACCTATTCTCAGGAACTCATCCTCATGCCATTTGAGTCAGCAATAGTGGCATTTGCCAAGTATTTGCAAAAGCTGGCAGTGGCATAGGAAATGTTAAATGTACCTACCGACTGAGGAGTCTTGTGAAATACTTGTCTGTCTGCTGAGTTCATTTTTATTAGCAGTAAGTTCTGCTAGCAAGTCTTGCTTTCGTTTGGGATTCCACACAGTCCCCACGTTATTCCCAACCATTTTAGAGGTATCTATCCCCAATGAAACTAAGATACCTTCTTTAGGGTTTTAATAAAAATGCACAGTTTTGTGGGGGGTGGTAGCAGAGATTATGAACATATTTAGCCTCTGATTGCACTAAATCAATACTTAGTATAAATATTTAGGTCTGTCATGTTTATACCACACAGAATTTACTATTCGGTATATGTTTTTATTAAAGTTTTAAACATCTGTGGACAGTTACCAAAAGAACTTGTCCCCATCTACGGAGTTAATCTAGATTTTGAAAAATATTACGATGTGCCATCAATGGATCAAATTAAATTTACCCTTTTTTTACCCTACACAACTATGTTGTAATGGTATTACAGCTTTGTATGGACCCAAACGTTTGTAACGCCGCGAAATGTTGGTTCTAGGCCGATCGTCTATCGATTATGATCGTGATGAATTTTTGCATTTAGGACGGCTTCTGGTGGGAGAAGCCCCCTATTGTTTTTGGTAATTATCGGTTAATATTTAGGGGATGGAATAAACGAAAAAATGTGTTTATCTTTTTTTCTGGTAGCTGTTGAGGCGTTAATTATTGTTCCCTCTAATCGGATGTGAGAGTTTTACTTAAATACTTACAAATGTCGAAGTCAAGGCACATATATTGGGTAGTCGCATCGGCGAATTACTACAACAAAACAACTTTTTTGGTAACATTATATGTCAAAATTTGTAAACAAGCAAATAAAATTAAATTCGTCTTGATGTTTCAAAATTTAGGCAAATTTGAGTCAACCAATCAGAACAAAATGTTATAAGTCTATGTTATAAGTATGTGTTGCCTCAAGAGTTTATAGCTGCACGATATATTGATTCTAGATCTTTTTTATACCCTTCACCACTCTGTGGTACAGTGTATTATGTCTTTGTGCATATGTTTGTAACAGGCAAAAGGAAACGAGAGAGATACATGGTTCCTTTTGAGAATATGCATAGAATCACTTTTTAAGACGATCTTTGCATGTCCGTCCGTCTGTCTGTCCATTTAAATTGTGAACAAAGTACAGGTCGCATTTATGATCCGTATTGGATGAAATTTAGCACAGCTCATTTGTTTGGCCCAAGGACAAACCCTATTGAAATTGGGAAAAATCGGTTCATATTTAGATATAGCTCCCATATATATTTTCGTCCGATTTAATGTAAATGGTGTAACAAAGTCCCTATATATCTTTCGATTTGCACGAAATACGGCATAGCGTAATGAATTAGCTCTAGAATGATGTGTGTTAAGTTTCCTGAAAATCGGTTCAGATTTAGATATAGCCCCCATATATATTTTCGTCCGATTTTATGTAAATGGTGTACCAAAGCCCCTATATATCTTTCGATTTGCACGAAATTTGGCACAGCGTACTAAAGTATATCTAGAATGATGTGTGTTAAATTTCGTGAAAATCGGTCCAGATTTAGATATAGCTCCCATATATATTTTCGTCCGATTTAATGTAATTGGTGTCGTCCGATTTTACACACAATTAACACAAACTTTTCACAACGTACTGGAGTTAGAATAACCTAGAAGTTGGTTGGTTTATATATATATATGCTTATAATTGATTTTCATAATTTTGTCCTTGGTCCTTTAAAAATTCGACGTCTTTTAGGTTTCATCTTTTGGATATACCGAAAGTGGTGAAGGGTATCATATAGTCGGCCCCGTTCGACTTCATTATTTTCCTTACTGGTTGTATATCGTTTATCATCTCTCAACTAGCAGAATCCTTCCAGTCATTTGTGTCCGTCTGTCCATTATAATTTGTAATCTGATTATCACGACTCGAGCCAAATGTCGATTGAAAACATATTTTCTGTGTCGGCATCTTTCCATAATTTGCATTGATGAATTCTGGAGATTTGGCATGTAGAGTCGGTTCTTGCCTAAGACGACTTCTATTGGTTTTGGTAGTGATTGGTTTATTTTTACAGACCACAACAATGACACGAAAACCACGAAATTACACGCAGAAGGGGATCTGGCCAATGAATAAGTACGGATGTTTTCATGATGAACAGTCAATATTTAGCGGGTCGAATTGACCAAGATTTTGTTTTAAAAATACCAAAATTGGAATTGTATGTAAAATTGGAAAAAGTCACAAAATTTATTTTTTTTTATGTATTTAAGGCGAATTAATAATTTCTACAATTTGTTTTGACATTCAATGTTACAACCAACTGGTTCAATGCGACTACCTAATACATCTACCTTGGTCTAAGTATTGTAATATTGTTAAGTATTACCATTAATACAATAGAGGACATAAATATCAGTCAAGGACGACGCCTAAAATTTTCGATGATGATTAAATGATATTTCGGATATGAAATAAACCGAAAACTTTATTTTTATAAAGTACATTTTTATCCCGGGAAATCATGATTAAGAAAAGATGACACAAGGAGCAGTTGACCTCTAATCGGCCAAAAGATTGCAAATATCGTGATATATTACACAGGATCGAATATACATCACTGGTTAAAATGTTGTTTGGGGATGAGTCCCAACTTCTAGTTTTGGTAAAAATATTACGATTTGAGATTATTAGGAGATGGGCAAAATTTGGTTGTCATCGGATGCTCTGTTTGCATCATATTTTGAAATTAATTTTCAGCACCATTTTGACTATTTTGTGTAGGAGGCAGCGACGTAGCCTAAATGAAAATGTATGCTTGTAAAAACGAATTTTTTAATTTTCTACTAGCGGCACATTTTTGGCGTAGCAAAGTGTACAATGAAATTTGAATATAACGGTAATTTTTTACCCATAATCTATATATATTTTAACTTAATTTATGCCCACACCTTCAAGCTATGCCCTTATTCATATGCCTTCCTTTGTTCTTATATTTCAGCGTAAAGGAGAAAGTGCGCGTGATTTGCCGGTAAGCTTTTTAGAAGATTTATTCTACGACACTGACACTACATACTATTAGAGTTGCCTAAAGACAATTTCTAACAAATAATTAAAAGAAAAACAAAAAGAACTCAATTATTAAGCAAATCAAAGAAATATAACCCCATAAAGCAATAAACTAACAATACTGCAAACAAATAACCCAGCAAACAATAATGAAATGAAATGCAAGTTATAAAACAACTATTCCAAATCAAATAATAACAAAAAAACAATCTTTCAAATATCTATCTATATTAACCAACATTCTTATATTATTATTACAAAAAATAAATAAATTTCAAATAAAAAACATTATATAATGAAATGCTTATTAACTATTTATTATTAACAACCAAAAAAGAAAACAACTAACCCAAACCAAAATACAACAAAATATTAATTATTATTAAATAAAACGTGGCATGTTTAAATGTGTAAAACTGAAAAACACACACACGAAAAAATCAAATTAATGGTATTTTTTATTTTTAACATATATTTTTATTGGTATTCTAAATGTTGTTGGGATGATATTTTATTTAAAAATAAATTATATTTTTTTAAGTTAATTAATTTAAATTTTTATTTCATTTAAATACATTAACCATTAACTTCACTTTTTGGTGTCAAAATTTAATTTTTATTATGATTTATTTTTATTTTATGTGTATTTGTTGTTAATGTTGTTGTTGTCGTCGTTATCATTTAACAAATATTACAAATGTTGTTGCTGTTGTTGTAAATGTGTTGTCATCATTATGTAATTTATTGTAGTTGAAAATATAAATAATAATTATAATAATTAAGTAGAGAAACACCAACAAGAATATACTAAACCCAAAAAAACAATAAACACACTCAATTTTATGTGACAATAATTTATTGTTTTATAAAAAAATAGTAATAATAAACCACAATGTAGAACGCAAAATAAAATACTAACAACTTATTTTCAACAATAATTACACTGTGGAACAAAAAACAATTCAGTTACAGGAAACCAAAATGGATTATGAAGAAGGAGAAAAAAGACATAAAAATGGGGTTAAGTTCTGAACTGGGAAACAAAAGTTATTACCTTTACCCCGAGAAAAACATTGACATCGCAAACGGACAGTAGATGTTTTTTCTATCATTAACCCACTGAGAACCAAACAATGCGCAAGAATATATTATTTCCATAAAAAATTGGAGACACCAAATCGCAGACCAGTTCTTCACAAAATGTGTCTAGGATCATTAAGTATAAGTATATCTGTTATTTTTATACCCACCACCATAAGGTGGAGTGTATATTAAATTTGTCATTCCGTTTGCAATACATCGTCTGTCTGTTAATCCGTCTGCTTGTCTATTCAAATCACGATATTGATCGCAATATTTGAATAGAGTTTTGAAATTTTGCACTGGGATTGCTTGAGCACGCGTTTCAACCAATTTGAGAGCAATTTAATATTTCGGATTCTCATTGAGTTGAAAATGACCCTTACCAATAATTATCACCATTGGCCCATGTTTCCGGGTAGTTGCTTATATAATGGAAACCCCCATTATTAGGTATTTTGGGGTTTTGGACATGTTTTTCAACCGAATTCGCTCTATATTGATTTTTTCAGGTTCTCTGGGATTTTACATTTTTCTACTAAAAATAATCAAAATTGGTTCAATATTAAAGAAATCCCCTATAAGGCGCTACCTCCCGAATTTCGGTATTTGTGGGAGCTTGGACACATGCTTCAAGCAAATTAGCTGTAATCTTATATTTTGGATTCTCATTGAGTAGAAAATCTCCCTACTAAAAATCATCAATATTGACCCAAATTTCCGGGTAGCTTCCATATAATGGTACTCGCATTATTCGGTATTTTGGGGGATTTGAGCATGTTTTTCAACCGATTTCGCTTGATTTATCAAATTTAATGGGGTGTTTAATCTCCATACCAAAAAATGTATATGTCAATTTCCGTTTTCATTTTCGGTATTTTGAAGACTTTAGCCACATTTTGCTGCCGACGGGGCTGTAATTTGGTATAAAGGGTTCTGGAAGGCTTATATATACAAATGTATGCGGTGTGTATATAGGTACAATCTTTGATATAACCTCACATACAAATTCTGCTTCTTTTTCAGTATTAATACATTTTTTAACCGATTTTTTTCAAAGGCATGGCTATAATTTGACATATCGGATTGCTGGTGAATAAAAACCAAATTAAAAAAGTGGGGTTTAAGTTTTCCAACTAGAGTGTATGTAATTTGGAACACAATTTTTTTCAAATCATGTACAATCTTCTATCGCATGACACCGTAACATAGTCCCCATATAAATATCTTGATCGACTTAAAGAATTTTGAATGCACTCCAAGTGGTGGAGGGTATAAACAGTTCGTCCTAGTCGAACTTAACGACATTTTTTACAGTTTTATTTCGGCTGAAACTAATTCGGAATGCTAAATTATAGTCACTACATTGAGAAAATTCAGTAACAAAAACGTCGAAACATGGGCCTATTAAAAACTAGTAAGGAAAGTTCAAAAGCCGGACGTTGCCGGCTATATGATACCCTTCACCACTTTGGGAACATACAAGAGATGTTAATATCTACAATATCCTGTAGATAGAACAGACATAGAATCCTTGGAGGACCATTGAGATGCAGTCGGGCGAAATTAAATGTGCTATCTAGATAGATATTTCAACCAATTGAAAAAAATCCCATACACCATTTTGAAATCAATGAAAATTTGCATGACAAACGGACAAACTTGGATTCTTTGGTATACCACTTGTATGAAATCGAGTAAGGTTATTTATGGGGGATATGTATAAACACATGGACCTTATTGAGCAACAGTTGCACCCAAAATTTGTTTTTTGTTATCACTCTAAATTCAATTTAATATCATCTGCCAAATTTCGTGTAAATCGAACAAACATAATTCCTTTGGTGCACCATTTACATAAATTGGAACGAAAATATATATAAGACATATATCAAAATCTGAACCGATTTCCACAAACCTTATCAGACATAATTTTTTCCTCAATTGCATGCGCAAGATTTTATCCCAATCGGACAAATATTGGGAGTTTGGTGCATCATTCACAAAAAATCGGACCAAACTATATATGGGAGCTATATCGAAATCTAAACCGATTTTACCAAAACTTCGCACACATAAGTATGGACCTCATTCAGTGTGGACAAATATTGGGAGTTTGGTGCATCATTCACATAAAATCAGACGAAACTATATATGGGAGCTATATCTAAATCTGAACCAATTCCAACAAAACTTTTCATTCAGTACGCTGTGCAAAATTTTGGACAAAAATTGGGAGTTTGGTGCACCATTTACCTAAAATCGGACGAAACTATATATGGGAGCTATATCTAAATCTGAACCGATTCCAACAGAATTTCGCATACATCTGTTGGGACCTAATTCAGTACTCTGTGCACAATTTTGTTTCTATCGGATAACAATTGGGAGTTTGGTTCACCATTTACCTAAAATCGGACGAAACCATATATGGGAGCAATAACTAATTCTGAACCGATTTTCTCCAATTTCAATAGGGTTCGTCCTTGGGCCAAATAAGTGACATGTGCCAAATTTCATCCAAATCGGATCATAAATACGACCTGTACCTTATTCACAAAAATACATGGACGGACAGACGAACATTCATAAATCGACTCAGAAAGAGATTCTATGCATATTCTCAAAAGGAACCATGGGGCTATCTCGATTATTTTTGCCTGTTACAAACTTTTGCACAAATACCCTGTACCACAGTGTGGTGAAGGGTACAATGACTATACCTTGCACCACTATGAATATATCCAAAAATGCTCATACGTAAAATATTCTGTCGACTGAATCCACATAGAGGACCATTGACATGGAATCGGAGGAAATTAGATATATGGTCTCAACATATACGTATCAATTTAAATCAACCAAATACACATGTCATTCGGAAATCTATGCCAATTTCCATTTAATGAAATCGAAAATACATATAAGAAATATATTTAAATATGAATTTAAATATGGACTCAAATAGCTCCGCTGTGCTAATCGAACAAGCGTTAGGTATTTGGCTAACTATTTAGACGAAATCAGACGAAATTATATATGGAAACTATATCCAAATTCGAACGTTGTCCCATTTGCATAAAATCGGACGATAACATATATGGGAGCTATATCTGATCCGATTTAAAATGAATGTAACACACTTTATTTTAGGCTTAACCCAATACGCTATGCAAATTATATGCCAGTCGGACAAATATGGGGAGTTTGGTACGCAGTCATATTAGTGCTATATTTAAATCTGAACCAATTTTCAATAGGATTGGTTCTTGGACCAAAAAAAAAATGTGTTGTGAAAAATTTCATCTCATTCGTATAATAAATATGAACTGTACTTTGTGTAGAATTTTACATGGAGAGACGGCCAGGCGGACTGACCGACATGCATACATCAGAAAGTGATTTTATGCAAATTTTCAAAAGGAACCATAGAACTATTTAGATTCCTTTGGCTTTAAAAAAAGAAACTATGAACTAAGACGTAATACCCTGTATAACAGTATGTTGAAAGGTATACAAATAAATTGTTATTGTTCACCCTCAAGAGATTGGAATGCCAAATTACAGTTACATTGTTGGGATAATGCGTCTAAGGCAGAAGTGCTCCAAATAGGTTCCATGGGCTTTCAGTGTGTTTCAAATTTCTCATATACACAATTATAAAATCAGTGATCATCACCGAAAATTATAGGCGTTGTCCTTGGCCATAAGTGGAACCTCTTTAAACATTTTAAAGCGATCGGTGTCATATTTTCGCCCTCCAGTATTGTAATGGGTTACTAAATAATATCCCACATCCGAAAGCATACGACAATATAATTGGTATCAATTTAAAAGTCAACCACTGCTCTTATATATACTATCAACTTCTCGGATCTATGTCCTTCAGGAGTAAATAATATATATACGTCATAAAACACAAGTCTGGATCCATTTGACCCCCTAAATATTGACCGATCTTTATCAAAATAGGAATTCTTATTCTTTGGCCCG